CATGTGGAAGGGGTCTGAGGAGTCCAGAGGCGGAAGCACCCACGGTCTGAGATGGAGGATGAATAGATGCTTCAGAGGTGGCTTAACACCACACTCAATGTCCATGCTTTATTTTGTCATTTTCAATGATGAAAGTAAAATACATTTTCCTCTAGTATAGTTTGAACTCTAGTCCATAAATTTTTGGAAGCTTATTGCTGTTTGATTCGAGTTTCTGTAATTATTACTAAGATTGTACATTTTTCAAGTTTCATTACTATTGGTCATCAGTATATGTAATTTCATGAATTTTCTCTTCTCATTCTTAGATATTTCTCTTCTCGTTCCTACTTCTATAGTCATTATTTTCTTGTTGATTTATGTTATATACTTTGCAGATAAATAAGCATTTCAATTTTAATCTTACATTGCTTTATTTTGGCAGAGAAGTTTTATATTTTGATTCTGATTTTGAATTTTATATGTAAGTAAAAACCTGATCTTATTTTTCCTCTAAATGCTTAACCATTTAACTGAGAATTATTAATTGTACCATTCATTACTTTCTTATAACCTTGGCAATCTATTTTTATTATGCATATATGACATATATGTATAGACTTACTTGGGTACAGTTTTGGTGACCTTTACATTTGGTCCATCTATTTCTGTGTTAATAACATACTATTACAATTTTGTTAGTTTTATAAAACCTTTTAACATAAGAGGACCAACTCCATTCTCATTGTTTTTTAAATAATTTTTCTGACTGTTCTAGGTTGTTTATTCTATCAGAAGACCCCCTGATGAGGTCCTCCAAGCCTCACTCTGTTTTGGAACGGAGTCTTTGGAGAACTCACATCCCTCTCATCCTCTTCTTATCCTGTCAGGCCTCTGTGGCCAGGGCCAGGCATCCTGGGCTTGCTCAAAACCCAGCAGCACTTGTTCCCTCTCTTTCCTGCCCTGATCCAGCCCTCTGATCACAGAACTCATTCCTTGGCTGAAGTTGCCATCTGAACTTTGACCTTGGCCTGACCCCAACTACTTGCCTGTGAAATGAAGCATTCAGGGAATTAATAAAATGCAGGGAGGCTAGCAGTGGGGTGACAGTGCTACTTCCTCAGGTCAATGGGCCAGGAAATGTCTTGAAAACACTTTATTCAACCATACAAACAGGCTTACAAATAGGAATTCAGGATTTCATTCAATCAACTCTTTCATTTTTTCACTCTGTCTTCTTACTAAACAAATATGAAAAGGGCCTTTTACTCAGGTAGGGAGGGCCCTTGTGAGTCCCTTTGTGGCTCAAGGTTGTTTGAGTCAGGCAGCCTGAGAGAGACTAAATTGCTTAGGTAACTGAAAGTCAAGTAGGTTAATATTCAAATTTTATGCAGTAAAGATGGACTATATATGCTGCAGTGACTACCTCCATATCTCACTCAAGGTCCAGAAAGATCCATCTTGATAAATATTTAAATTATAAATATTTTGTTCCCTCTAGTAGATACCTGAGTTCTTGGCTCTAGTATATAAACACCGGTAGCTTGAAAAAGTTAAGCACACCATTAAACTTGAATTAAGGATATCAGGAAGATAAGAGTGATTGAGAATGCCCCGAACTTCAGCAACTCAGTTCTCAGTGTTTTATGTCGAGGGAATTCAGGACAAAGATAAAAGAGCCTAACACCAGCAAACATCAGGGTGCGCCCCACTGTCAGCTCATGCTGGGAAGTGGGTTGGTTGAGTAGCAGGAGGGTTGAGAACCAGGAGGTGATCTGAGAATATACTATTGAACTGAGCAGGGGCTTCCCCATGGAGCTGCTGTGCTTGTCACCCTCCCATGTGGAAGGACCCCAGGCTGCTCCCAGGATGTCACCTGGCACTGTGAGGGTCATAGCATCTACTGAGAGGTCAGAGTCACGCAGTCCTGGCTTCACTTGGCACCCAGGCTACTACACTAGGGACCAAGGCTACTATGGGTGGGGCAGAGCTAATGATGTTTAATGCCCGTGTTCACCTCTGCCTATGAATGTGAGTGTAGGAGAGGTCTCTGTGCTAAGAAAGGGTTAAATCCTGAATTTTCTGAAATACTGGCCTTAGTCCTTGGCTTTCATTCGGCTGTGTCTACAGGGCCCAAATGACCCTCCTTACTTGCTCTCTGTGCTGGAGAGCAAACCAGACCCCGTGCTGAGTTGGATCTAAAGGGCCTGGGATCTCCCCATTCCTGGCCTTCAACCCCACAGGACACACCTTTTCTCCCTATTGAGACAGTTATGACATTTCGCTCCACTTTTGTCATAGAAATACGTTGCCTCACATGCTGGGTGGGAAGTGGCCACTTTTAGAGGGACTGCCAGACCACAATGACCTTTCATGGGTCCCAATGGCCATACTGTGCTGTGGGGTCCACCCCCAGGCCTAGTCTATTGGGCCAGAAGTGAGCATCTGAGACAGGCAGATTCACTTCCACAGGAATTTTGACCTGATATCCAGCAAGCGTTTCTGATCTCTGTGTGACACATGACTCTGTGCTTGGGCAGCTGAGAGCCTGAAGCAGAAGAAGGTGGTGGGAGAAGGAGGAAGAGAGGCGAGGATGCACAGAGGCAGAAGCAGGGAGACCGCACAGCGCTGCTTGTGCACCCGCAGTCCTTGAGCCACCTCAGAACTCTTCATTCTTACAAAAAATTCCTCCCTGGGCTTAAACCATATCCACTGCTTTTTCCTTTGTATTTGCAATGAAATACCTTTCTAAGCTCCCTGGCGGATGGTGTCCAGGTGTGACTCCTGAATTGAAGATTATTTGCTCCCTGTTGCATAACTGACATATTTCAGAAGCTGCCAGGACTTGGGGCTTTTTTTCAGTAACAAAAAAAAGGTCTTTGCGGAGAGACTGAGCTGTGTGCTGTTGGGAGGTGTGGTTTTTGTTTTCCTTTCTTTTTTTCTTTTTTAAAACCTATCAATATTCACTTTATTTAAATTATTTTTCATTTATAAATTATAGGTGACATACTGTGTGATATTAACTTCAGGTGTACATCCCAGTGATTAGTCATTACATAACTTACTAAGTGATCATCCTGATCAATCTCGTCCCCATCTGACACCATGGGTATTACATGTGGCTTTTTGCTTTCAGACCTGCTGTCCTACATCTGAGGTGTGGCTATGGAGTGGTGGGAAGAGGGGTGTGGCCTCCGGTCCCTGGGAACAAAGGAGGGCTGCTTTCCTGTTTTGTTGCCTCTCCTATGAGCCTGGGCTTCATCCAGGTGTCCTTCCAATTTCTTAAGCACAAGTGTCATTAAAATCAACTGGTATACAGGGGCCTTTGGCCTAAAAGTTGACAGGCCAGAAATAAAGGGTGTCACAAAATTCACGCAAGTTTTGAATTTTACACCATTTACAGTAAAGCGTGCTCTCTATCGTGACATGATAATCCAGTTTTTTGTGCCTAAATTGCAATATATGGATGTGGACAACATGTGGTTTCAACAAGACGGTGCCCCAGGCCATACAGCCTGAGAAACAATTCAATTACTGCATGAGTCATTCCCTGGTTCTGTAATTTCCAGTTTTGGTGATCAGAATTGGCCACCAGATAATGCTATTTAATGCTGTTAGACTTTTTTCTTCGGGGTTTTTTGAAGTCTAAGGTTTATGCCAACAAGCCCATGACGACCCATGCCTTAAAGGAGGAAATTGAGCGCTATATCAACGAAATTCAGCCACATTTATGCAAAACGGTCATGGAAAATTTCAACAAAAGAGTGCGCATATGCCAGCAAAGCTGTGGAGGCCATTTACCTGATATGCTATTCCATACATAACCCTATACTGTATATTTTATGAATCAATAATAAATATACAATTTTTAATTATAAACCTGTGTTTTCTATCAAAATTACTTCTTGCATGAATTTTGGGACACCCTTTATAAGTTTTGGGATCAGATGTCCTTTCACGAGACCAAGTTGTAGCACTGACACACCTGGGGCTTTGAGCAAGTCTTCCCCCCTCTCTGTGGGAGGAGGAGGAGGAACTGCCCAGCTGTCTCTGAGGCGACGTGGCGGAAGAACCTCCTGGACGGAGGCCAGGACAGGGCTGGGGGTGAACCTGAGCGTGGCTGGACCCTCTGTGCCTGAGGTCTCAACTGGAATGGGGATTGTGCAGGTGGGACTCCCTCCCATGAGCCGACAGGCAGTCACAATGACAGGGTAGAATGAGGTCCTGGTGTGCAGGGATGCGGAGGAGGCTACTCAACTGGGCCACACAGTCCTGCCAGGGAGGCAGATGACCTGCCAGGTCAGCCCATGGCGCTGTGCATCCTCCGGGGCTCAGGCCTTGAAACAAGGAGCAGCCACTGGAACTGCCCAGCCCTGGGGCTCCAGCTGGCATTGGCCAAGGGGTCCGGGGCTCCGGGAGGTCCTGAGCAGGCATGTAACGTGGGTGCCAGGGATCTGAGCCCTGGACAGAATGAGCTCATCCCTGGAGTGAGGGTGAGGAGGGGAGAGAAAGGAGAGCTAAGGCTTGAGCAGGTCACCATTAAGTGGTCAAGAAGAGGAGGAGGGGCTAGCAAAAGAGGAAGATAAGGAACTGCCATAAGGGGACACCAAAGCAAGAGGAGGGAGTGACAGAGGAGGGAGTGACAGAGGAGGGAGTGACAGAGGAGGGAGTGACAAGGAGGGAGTGACAGAGGAGGGAGTGACAGAGGAGGGAGCGACTTGCTGGATTGACAGTTTGAGGAGGCAGAGGACTGAGGAGGAGCCTTTGGATTTTGGGGCCTAATTTTATCCCTTACAACTGGGAAAGCAGGCTGGCCCTTCTTCCTCTGACAGAGCAGCCAGTGAAGCCAGTTTCGTATTTTATTCTGAGAGAGGAGTTCCATGGGAGTCCTTGGCTGGCCTCATCTGATGGCTCTGTATAGAAGCCCAGCCACAGAACCCTCAGCTCTTCATTGTCATGTCGACAGCACACGTGTCATGGCCAGGTTCCTGGACCACGGCTGCCCCACCCACCCCAAGGGCTCAGAACTCGCAGATCACAAGGCGATTTGCTCCACAGGGCACATCGTTCCACTTGCCGTTGGCCATTATCTCCACACAGTCCTCCCTGCCGCTATCGTCATTGGGCTCCCCAGGGGCCCAGTTGGAATAGACCAGGAATGCCCCTCCTGGGTAGGTGAACCAGCCCTCCTTCCAAAAGTCAGTCATGCTCAGGAACGCAGCACCCTTGTTCTCAAAGTGGACCAGCTGTTGCAAGGCTTGGTTCTCAGCCGCAGAGCGTGGGGAGGGCAGCTGACCCCCGGCCTGTGTGCACACTTGCCGTGCTTCATAAGAAGATTGCAGAAAGCCTGCGGACTTGAAGACCTTCTGGCCAACACCTCGGCCATTGGGGAAGATCTCCACTAGGAGGAGAGCACAGTCCGGTTGGGGCTCTGGGGGCACCTGCCAAAGCTCCATGGCTCTGAGACCTTTGTGCTCCGACCAGAGCCCAGGCCTCCCATATAGGGCCTCAGAGCACCAGGGAGGACAATGGTTAGACCCCGGCTCCGCAGTGTGCTCTGGGAGGTGGATCTGCCTGTCTAGTTACAGGTGAGAACACTGGGCTCAGAGAGGTTAAGTAAGAGGCTCAACATCATGTGACCATCACATGCAGAGTTGGGGGGTCACCTTTATCTGATCTCACACTAGAGCTGAGATGTGCTCTTTCTATTGCACGCATGTTGCATGGCAGAATCGGTTTCCCAGTTACTGGGCGGACTGAGAAGCTTTGGCATCATGCAGCCAAATGGCACCCGAGCCTCTGAGAGCTGGAAAGAAGGACAGTGCTCCCTCTGATCTCACTGTGGACCCGGCATAACAGCAGGGCATGTGGCATTGACAGGGAGGTCCGTGCCCGGTGTGGATGTGGGTAAGAAGAGGTGAGGGTGGGCCATCTGAGGGCAGCGCTGTGCTAATCTCTGCACTGTGTGTGCCCAGTGCTGGCCTCTAGGTGTGCATGTGGGTGAGGCTCTAGAGCTGGGAGAGAGGACAAGGACAGCTGAGAGGTGTGCATGGGCGTCAGGGGCAGGAGAGAGTCAGTGCTGGAGAGAGGCCTGTCTGGGAGTCAGAGGGCCAGGTATTCAGCCCCATCTTGGCCATGACTGTCCAGGTGGACAAGGGAAAGTCACTTCCTTTTTCAGGGTTTCCAGTTCCTCATCTCTAAGATGGGAATACAATTTATAAAAGCATCACCTGTGTGACATTCAACTATATATTTTTATTCTGACTCATTTTCCATTCTGTGTGTGTGTGTGTGCTTTAATATATTTTTATTGATCTCTGAGAGGAACAGAGAGGGAGAAATAGAAACATCAATGATGACAGACTCTTTGATTGGCTGTCTCCTGCACGCCCCCTACTGGGGATCAAGCCCACAGCCCCAGTACGTGCCCTGATCAGGGGTTACGCCATGTTCTCCTGGTTTATAGGCCAACGCTCAACCACTCGGCCATGCTGGCCAGGCTCATTTTCTATCCCTTTGACTTCTGGGTTCGTGCATAGAAGCCTTCAGGGCTCCTGAGAGGGCTGTGCTCCGGTCCCAAACGGCTGGTGAGGAGCCCTGGCTGCACCCTGACCCACTGTGACCCTTCCACAAGGGTTCCGGAGGCAGACACTCCACAGGCTCAGGAGGGCACCCAGAGCAGCCCTGGACAGGAGTTCCTCTGCCATTCACTACATGCACCCGGGTGGGTCTGTGTGTGCATACACAAATATGGCCTCGTGCCCATCTGGAAGCACATGGGAGCACTGAAAGTCCACCTGGGTATGTGTGAATATGCCTGTGTGCTCGTGGGTGTAGATGACGTGAGGTGAGTGATGGCATGTGTGTAATACACACACGTGTGTCAGGTATATACCATGAATTTTCCTTTGTTTGCATCAGTGTGCATGTGAGGGAGTGAGCACACATGCATGTTTGTGGAGAGAGGGAGACATACCAAATGCTTGAAACTTCACCTTGGTATGTGTGTACTGAGTGGTTTTAGGTACGTAGGAGCCAAGCATATGTCTTACCCCTGTGTGCTCTCCTCCTTCAGAAACTCCTCTTTGGATCAATGAGATTTGCTGAATGATTTGAGCTCAAAGCTGACATGGGGAAAGCGGGGAGGAGCGGGGGAAATTGGGGACTGAGGTGGAGATGCCCACAGGCACAGGCACTGGGTTGTGCTGCTGGGGCCTCTGACTCCTCAGCACCCAGGTTGGGGGAGAGTCTCCACCATGAACACCCAGGGAGCAGCGGGAGAGCCCAGCACTGGCAGAGCCCAGAGGCAGCCTGCCCCCTGCCGGACCCAGGGCCTGTCTCAGGTGAGACTCTCAATGGCCACATGCCAAGGTCAGACCCTCACAGCCGTGAACCCAAGCACAACATCCCAGCCCCAACATTCAGGACTGTATCAGGAGGTACTGCTGCTGTGGGCTGGGCAGCAACATCTTGAGAGGTTTGTACACCTAGCCCCATAGAGATAAGAAATGCATTCTGGGTAGTGGGGTGTCCAGGGACCAGCACACCCGGGAGAGGAGGTCTGAACTGCACTGGGCTTGGGGCATTGATCTGGGTCGGGTCACAGGTGGCTGTGATGGTGGGGCTGGAGCCTGGTAACCTTGACCATGCTACCACCAGCCCACTGAGCTGGTGTCGGGCCTACTCCCTGCTCCGTGTCCCTGGCATCTGCTTCCAGCTCCTGGAACATGTCGCTGCCCTGCTCTGCCCCACCCTATGCTTAGCCCCGGGTTCTGCCCCAGTCCCAGGTCCAGCCCATCGCCCATCGCCCAAACCCACTAGCATACTAGAGCCCCCAATCCTAGAACCAGGCCTACCTCAGGCCGGGCCAACTTCAAATCCAACACAGACCCTGCCTGGGGCCTGCCCTCAGCGACTGGCTCAGGTTCAGACCAGGTCCAGGAACTCACCTTTCTTACACTGAAGATATGCTCTCTGAAGGTGTTCTACCTGCTCCTGCAAGGCCTCCACCTGCCGCCTCAGAGCAGCGATGTCTGCAGGAGAGAGAGTCCCAGTGAAGACCAGTCCCTCACAGCCAGGGATCAGATCAGAGTCTGCATCCCAAGGGAAGGTGCTCAGTGACAGGCTTTCCTGGGGGAGGGTAAGGAGCTGGGCCCCAGGAATCCCACTACCACTGACACAGCTGGCCCTGCTGCCCACAGGTCCCTGAAGCTCTGTTGCTAGCACACTGAGCCCTGAACAGGTCCTGGCACCCGACTAACTCTGATCCAGATGGCATTTCACAGCAAATTCTGAGAGTCTGGGAGCACAACTCTGGGAGGAGAGAGGGCATTGCACGTTGTCCCTCTGGTACTCCCCATCCCTTGGGTATTTGGTGCTCAAAGCTCTCTGAAGAACTGGGAAGAGAGCTGAGCTGTCCCAGTGATAAGATCAAAAGCTGCTAATGCTTGCCCTCCCTCGTGTATTAAGTCTAAGCCAGAGCCTCATCTTCCTGCCTTCATCAGTCCATCAGCCCTTCCTGCTTTCACACCCCCCCGCCCCCAAAATGAACTAATCACTGACCTAGAGGGCCCTCCTCCCTCTGCATCCCAGTGGGGCTCCCAGAGCTAAGAATGTTGACCTTACCTGGAAGCCCACTCTCTCCCTTTGCTCCTCTGTACCCAGGAGCACCTCTGTCCCCCTTCAGTCCTGGGGGTCCCCTGGCACCTGAAGGTCCCGGTATACCCTGGGGTCCTGCAGGGCCTGAGATCAGACAAGAAGAGGTGGGTGAGCTCAGCACACATTTTCCCGCATTTTCCCCCTCCCAGCACATGGGCTGTGCTAATGTCCAGCAATACACCCTCCCACGTACAGTCTCCCAAAAGTCAGCCACGCACCCTCTGCACACTATTGACCCATCACCCAGCACTCGCCTTCCCAGGATGTGGACTGTCCCTACTGCTCACACCGCACTCTCCCCAGTTACAGAGCTCAAGCCCAGTGAGGCACCTCCTTGCACAGACGCCCCAAGGCCCAGTGTTGCAGTTCAGAGCTGGCGGGGTTATGGGTGAGGGACAGGCATCCGCAGGTTCAGGTGGACACAGGAGGACCAAAGGCCCACCCCAGCTTTTCCCATCACTCACCTGCTTTCCCTGGAAACCCAGGGGCTCCACGCTCACCAGGGGCACCTTTCTCTCCTTTGACACCTGGGGGGCCTCTTGGCCCTGCAGAGCCCTGAACGCCTGGGGCACCCACTTCTCCTGAGGAAGGAACAGATTGGGACAAAGGCTGCTGAGAGTGTCTGCAGGCTGGATGATTTCCTCAGCTCCACGTGGAGAAGGGAAAGTGGGGGGCTGTGCACCCCACTGTCTGGGCTCCTCCAGATGTGGGGGTTGAGGGACAGGGGCCACAGCAGGGCCTGCCAGTGGTGATGGCCTGGCTTCCCTGGCACGCTGAGCATCCTTAGGTCACATCATGGTGCCACTCTCACTCCTCCCTCT